TCTCAAAGGGTCACCACCTCCGATATACACTACATAAATATGACAAAAATAAATAAATACAGAATTATGCATATACCCACATATATTATATGACACAGAGAAAAAATAGTCTAGTTCAGGTTATGTATACATGTGCATGGCAAGAAAAATGAATCTTGCGAGTTTACCAGACGTATGGCATAAGGAACAAAGCTATTACGGAATCAGGTAGTCCTGCTAGAAATACTTCGAAATTTCCTCCCAGAGGGGAGCAATGGAAACAGAACGTAAAGTGGGTGCATGGGGTTTCTAACAATGCTTTGAGCTCTACGCACATAGCACTTATAAGCAGCATCCTAAATAACAGAAAGCAAGCTTCCTATGATCTTCTTGGTTGTCCTTACCAATCTCTGTATGGACCTTCTATCTGAGGCACTGCTGCTACCAAACCAGATAGGGATGCAGTTTGTTAAAATACTTTCAATCGTGCCTCTGTAAAAAGTGGACAGGACAGAAGGAGAAAGATGTGCTCTCCTCATACGACACAAGCAATGTAGATGCTGGTTTGCATGCTTCACTAAGGATGACATACGGAGAGACCAATTCAGATTGTTAGTTATCTGCACCCCCAGATACTTAATACTGTTGACTACCTCTACAGCTGCATCCTTGATACTGAGTGGAGTATGACTATCGGGGGGCTGGACTAGAAGATTCCAAGGTCTCTCTTATTCTGTTAATGTGGATACGCTCAATTTACCTCAGAAGACCTGAGGGAGTGGGTGTGATGACCCAGGGGACAGCACAGAGACAAAACAGTCAACTGGCAGTTCAAACCACCCTTTATTTGCTCCAATTTTCCCCAAATGCTCCCATGTTTCTGGCAAGCCCCAGAATAAAGTAACACACACAGACCTTCAGCAGTCTCTGGCTGCAAGTAGTTTCACATACAGTTGGATTAGGAGAGTAATTTACTCAAGGCCACATAGATAACAAGGAATGAAACATACATCCAAAATCTAACGAGTCTGTGGAAATACAAGCTTGCCTGAGCAGTTTCAGAAGAGAAGCCAAAATTCAATCCAAGGTCTTTGAACACCAAATCAAGTTTGTCAGCCAGTCCAATGGTCAGAGTTTCAGGGTTTCCAAGCAGAAATCACAACACAGAACAAGAGTTGTTCCAAGATCAGCAACACCACACAAAACTCCAAGAAATCCGTGTTTGTTCCCGACAAATGCCCCTCCCCACAGCGTCTCCTTAAATCCCAGTTCCCAGTTTTCTACTCAGAACGCTCTCCTCCTGAGTAGTTGAGCCTGCCTGCATTGTTCCCTCCTCTCCACTTTCCGTGCTGTAGGATCAAGAGTGGGTGACCTTGCTCATTGCCTGAGCTCTGCCTCTGATGTTCATCCTGTCCCAATCCTGAAAGGCCGTGGCCTGCCTCAGCCTGCTCTTCCCCCCATTCCTCTGAAGCCACAGACATCTCTCCCTCGACCTCAACAGGGTCGAGTTCCAGCTCATTTTCCTCAGCAGATTCAGGCATGACAGTCGGTGGGGAATAGATTATTTTGTAGATCTACTATATAGTTCTTAATAATAAGTGCTAAGTTGTTTGCACATAAATGGTTTAATTAAAATTGTAACATTTTATTTCCATATTCTCACTTCCTTTATCTAATAATAAATTATTTGTTCCTGTGACTGTCTACAAATTGGGTTAACTTTATTGCCAAGCATTCCCATTTAAATTTGTTCCTCACTTTTAAAAAGTGCATGTCTCCACTATTTTAAAAACTTTCATAAATAAGAATAGTTATCTACTAACCTTTTACATTTCAAACTTCTTTGTTAATTAGCCTTTGGAAATCATGGACATTTATCTGATGTAATGGTAATTGGATAATCTGAGTTTCTCTTGCAGGTTTAAAAATAAATTCAAAAATCATTTGAACAGTGTCATTAATCATTTTATTCTAGAATTAAGTGTCCACTTTAATGAAGGTTAACTTTTTATATAAGTCACAAGATGTTTTAAAAATAGTATAATCCTTAATTTCCAATTTTTAACTGGAATAATTATTTCGGCTGCAAATCTTTCTGATTTGAAGAAAATGATACAGATAAATTCTCATTCTCCCATGTTGATTCTCTGTGACAAACTATTTTTATTTGGCATTTGATAAATAAATGTCAAATAATAGAATATTTCTCCTAATGTATCAACTGATACATTTATTTGCTGTATAAATGTACAGACATTTTATTTTATAAGAAATAGATTTCATTTTATATGTGGCTATTTCAATGTTCTGTTGTTGTTTCACCGTGCTTAAATATACTGTATCTTACGTTTAAACATTTATTATAGGATATGAGAATATAAACCATTTCCCACAGAAATCTTCTGTATTGACCAAATGTCTGCACTAGTTTGAGTTCTGCCTTATTGTACAGAAAATATTTATTTATTGGTTTATATAATAACACACTGTGGACAACAAATTGGAGATAGTGAGTTATGTTAGCACAGTTTCAGGGAAGCTCAGAATAAATAAAGCCACAAATAATCCCCAAACCAAATGATACCTGTGGTTTTGGTTCATGAAAGTACCTGAAAGATAGTAGAAGTATTTGAATAATTTCTTGGTCCTTGAAGAGCATCTCCAATTTATTTTCAGCTGCAACTAACTAGAGTATTTTTAAATTTGATCTAAAACTGTGAATATAATAGTATTACATGGTCAAACGTAGGGGCTAAAGTACAATTTATATATAATGCATTATGTATATTCTATGTCAAGTTCTCAATATATGTTTTTTAAAACATCTATTCCTGCTTAGGGTAGCAAATCCTAATCTCTACTGGGCATTAAAAAACAAAAATGCCAGAATATTTTCAATCCTACAGAGGGATAGAATCAAGATCATGTGAAGTATTAATACCACTTTACAAGGCCACACTTGGAATACTGCATCCAGTTTTGGTCACCACGATGTAAAAAAGATGTTGAGACTCTAGAAAGAGTACAGAGAAGAGCAACAAGGATGATTAGAGGTCTGGAGGTTAAAACATATAAGGAACGGTTGCTGGAATTGGGTATGTCTAGTTTAATGAAGAGAAGAACGAGGGGGGACATGATAGCAGTGTTCCAATATCTCAGGGCTGCCACAAAGAAGAGGGAATCAAGCTATTCTCCAAAGCGCCTGAAGGCAGGACAAGAAGCAATGGATGGAAACTAATCAAGGAGAGAAGCAGCCTAGAACTGAGGAGAAACTTCCTGACAGTTAGAACAATTAACCAGTGGAACAACCTGCCTCCAGAAGCGGTGAATGCTCCAACACTGGAAGTTTTTAAGAAGAGACTGGACAGCCATTTGTCTGAAACGGTATAGGGTTTCCTGCCTGAGCAGGGGGTTGGACTAGATGACCTTCTAGGTCCCTTCCAACTTTATTATTATCATTGTTGTTGTTGTTGTTATTATTATTATTATTATTATTATTATTATTATTATTATATTCCCTCAATGATTACTACATTATCACTATACTTTATGTAAGTAACTAAAATTACATTCAACAGAAACAACAGAGCCTATCTCCTAGGCTTTTGCAACAAAAACAACTTGAGCATGATGATTCATTGACATAAATGAATTCAACAAATTTATTAGTAAAAATAACTTTCATAAGCAGGAATTGATGAACTGCAAGTGTTTTGTATATTAAATATGAACAATTTATATTTTCCCTGCATGAATATTTTCCATATTGTTAGATACAGATTACTTAATTACTAGCCCATCAATGGTGACAGTTAAGAATAGTTTGATACCAACTTTATCTATGCAAATGATACTATTATAAGGTAGGAGGACAAGACATTGTTAATGGCATTACCATTTGATGAGTATCTAATGATTCAATCTATCATTCTAATGAGGCCATCTGATCTCAGCATCACTTCTGAAAGACTCATTGGGATTTATTCCAGCAGATCATCATATTCTATCCTTTGTACAACACCTATGGAAATTGGATATTGCAACATGTAAAAGCAATTCCAACAACCAGCTCATAAGGGCGAGAGCAAAAAATAATGAACATGCAAAGCTTAATATCCACAATGGCTGGCAAAGAAAAATAAAAACTAGAGGGTGATGAGTAGTGTTCTGAGGAAATTTATGAAGAAAGAGTCAAAACCTACAGTATTTACCAAGAATTGGAAAGAAGAGCTTTTCCCCTCTTCTTATGAGTATCTAAAATCAAAAGAAACCAGGTCCAATTTACAGGTCTTGTAAAGCCTAACTATAGCATTATGCCAGTATGTCATGTTTCTCGTTGTTTTAACACAGGGGTGTCAAACTGCCAACCCGCAGGCTGGTTGCATCATGCGCCCACCCCAGTTCCGGCAATGCAAAAAAAGTTGCGACACGTCACGTTACGCAGCGAGTTTGACACCCGTGTTTTAACAGACTGGACATATATATTCTTTTTCCTGTCCCTTTGTTTTCTAGCTTTAACTATGGTATGATAGTGTTATCTCTGTGCTGAGATTGATGCTAGACAAAATGAGTTGTACATTAGAATTTGAAGCCATGAAATAATCTATTTGTAAATTTTCCTTAGCGCTAACCTTCCTTGATTTGTAGATAAAAGTGTTGAGGTAGTAAGGAATCATTAGAATTCTTTAGGTGCTTTCAGTAATTCATGGGAGAAGAACATTGTATATTTCCTCTCAGAATTATCTTGGATATTCTGTATGATATCAAATTTGCTAAATGTTGGCAAATATTTTGCACCTGTTCATTTTATAGTTCACATTTTATCACCATATTTGGAAATAGAGATTGAAATATCTGTCTAGGTTGTAAGAACATGTGATATTTCCAAAAGGAGATCACATTTTTCATATCCATTGTTTTAAACTGTACTGTGGTAGTATGTATTTCCTTTGAAATATATTTTTCATATTAAATGATTAAAATTTTATTTTAAAAATGCTTTCTTTTGTTTTGTTTACTAGGAAACAGATCTCATGACCTTTAACATCTCAATGCATCGATCTTGGTGGCGAGAACATGGGCCTGGCTGCATACGAAGAGTGGTGCGCCCTTCAGCTCCTGGAATCATAGATGATGTTTCCTATGTCTCTGTGACAGGTTGCATAATTGACTTTCAGTACTTAGAAGTTATTCATAGTGCCATCCAAATTCTACTCTCCGTAAGTTCATGTCTACTTTTATGGATATTTTTATTTTGACATTTTTCCCATATTGCTACTGCTGCTTTCTTTTGGGGACGGGGGGAGCCACTTTTAGTTATTCGGCTATTTAAAAAAAATCTGAGAATTAAAATAACAGAGGGATTTAAAAAGTGTTTTGCATATATAATTTGTTATGAAATGTGTTTTAAACTTTTGCATTCTTATTTGATCAGAAATATTTTTGGAAGTTCTGTTTTGTTTGTGCTTACAGACACCCACCCACCCACCCACAAACACACACACACACACACACATTATATGTATGAATAATATATAGCAGCAGTTCCCAACTTTTGCGGCTTAGCAGCCCAGCTGGGGGGGGGAGAGGGGAACTAGGCCATGCAAGTGGTGGGCTGGCACGCACATGCATGCACATGCAGTTGGACTGCAAGTTGAGCTGCGCGCTCATGCACGTGTGCACTGGGCCACCTGCTCGCATGAATTGAGCTGCACTGGCCCATGGCCTAGTTGTCAATACACAGACTAGTAGTGGACCGTGGCCTGGGGGTTGGAGACTGCTGATATATAGCATACCTGCACATTTTACAGTCCCCAGGCCACATATGGCCCTTTGGCTGTCCCTGTCTGGCCTGCATGAGGTCAATTGGAAATTACAAATCACATTTAAATAAGTTTACACTGTGCACGCAATACAACTGTGTTGCTTTTATTTTGAAGGAGGCTTTTTAAAAATTTACTTATGTGGATGCATGTGTGCATCTGCACCTTCAGAGCTCTATTGGTTCAGCCCTCCATAATAGTCGCAGTTTCTCATGTGACCCCTTGGGAAAATTAATTGCCCACCCCTGATATATAGATACAAAAAATATGGCTCTGTTTTTTAGTTTCTTTCTCAATGCCAAAGATGCTTATAGAAGAGGCTCCTGATTAACATAGATGTTTCTTAGTTTATGTTTCATATGTTAAGAAACTATGTTATATGTTAGGAACTTTGTTTTCCCTAGAGGCCAAATTTAAATTTAATTTCATCAATAGAACCTTAAAGAATTTGCATATTGTACACACATATTTGGTTGTCCAGGCATTGTTTCATGCATCTAACAAAATAACCTGCAAAATTAAATTATCCTTTGCCTCATCTACATATTGGCTATGCTGAGCTGTTTCAGGAATGAACCTGTTATTAGGAATACAAGAGTAATATCTAATACTACTTGCAGGTAAATTTTCTTTGGAAGGTCTATGGAAGTTCAACAAAGTTGTCATGACAGGGGATAAAAGCTGTGTTAAAAGCAGCACTCTTAAAGGTGTTCTACAGGTGCAAGAAGTCATGATTTGGCTCACAATCTGAATGTTTGGTATCTTCCCATGGTAGCAGCTTTTGACTGTGTTAAATAAGATTTATAGCAATGCAGAGAATATTATTTTAAACATGTTCATATTACATGTGATTTAATTTGTTAATCCAAATTTAGACAGATTAATATTTGTGTTTTCATGTGATCCTCTGATCCTTCCTCATCTCTGATATAATCTTTATTTAATGAATTCCTCACAGTTGCAAGAGAGGGAAAAATACTATTATAAATAGTGTAGTAATTAAGAAAACATTATTAAAGGAGTCATTGGAACATGTAGTTTGTGCAGTATGATAGTCCACATTACTTTATCATGCAAATTAAAATGAAGCATTATGTTGATTTGCCAACCAAATCAGAAAAAATGAATGAAAGAGAAGACTTAATGAACTACTGTAATTAGCTAGGAGCAGCTTATATTCCTGGGGTAAGATTCAAAATTTCAAGGGGAGATATTTTTGCTAAAGGCATTTCCTTTAGACTTGTCAACTACTTGTAATTGACCACTAAGATGAGGCATTTATTTATTAGATTAATACAACGGTCTCTTTGTTCTCTTTGGTCTTTTGATATAATTCAGACAAAATCACCACATTTTTTTTCTTTTAAATTCCAATAGAATGTGGATATGTTATACAGGAAGTTATAGATTAGGTTCTCCTATACATTCTGTACATTGTGAACTATTAACTTCAATCATATCAGAATCATACCAGATAATTTTGTACACTCTGGTATGCAGTTGCTTTGTTCCAAAATTTTCAGTACGACTCTAGTTCTGCACATAGCTATTAATCACTACAATGATAGGAAAGTACAGATGAAGGAAGGATGGTAAAATATTTTCTTTTCTGAAATGGATGGTTTTTATTCTTGACACAATGGTGACAATGATGTTTATAATTAAAATGATGTCATAACACATTATGATTCCACAATAATAGAAATGTAACCTGTTATATATAAAAATTATAAGGTAGTCACTATTCTCATACTATTAGTCTACTTCAAAGAAACAAATCACTCAAAGCTATCAGATAAAAGGCTATTTAATCCTATTTAATCTACCACTACCATGTAAAAATGCCCTTATAGTTCATTATATTTCAAGCTCTGACATTTAATTTGCTAATATTTCTATGATTCTTACTCAGTTTTTTAGGGTGTCAGTAGATCTTTATGTTTTATCTAGAAGTCTATTGAGTAGTTCCTGAAAATTCATTATACTTATTAGGTAAAAAAAGGATTAGATTTATTTTACATATTAAATTTAGAAATCTTATTGTCCATGTATTATATTTGGAACATATTTTCATGTTCTTTGAACCAGCAAATGTCAACAAACTATGAAAAAAAAAGAGTCGAAAGTTGATGAATTAAGAGATAAACATATACAACTTAATTTATGACTAAAATCTAAGTAATTGATAGTCTCCTCAGCATATAGTAGGGCTACATCAGAGGAGAAATTAGTTCCTTAATAAAGAGATCCTACAGACATAGTTACAAGCAAAGTGAGTCAAACAGACTAAGTCCATGTTTACAGAGTTTTACAGTCTACGTGTATATGCATACATTTTATTAAACATATTTCCATACAAGTTTAGATTCTAATTGATGTTGGTCATCACTCTCATTGGATTGTTCTTCATGGGATGCTATCATTAGTGGAGAAGTCAATGCCCTTGCCTATTTTAAAATCTACCCAGCTGGAAATTATTCATGGATGTTAATAAGCATCAATTCATCTCTTCTGCCACATTCTCCTTTGCTGGGATGAAAGGGACTGTCCTATTTGTGGAATAGAGCTAAGAATTTAGATTATTAAGTGCACTATTGCTAATTCTCAGGGAACTATGGGAGGTAATGTCTAAGGTAACTTTTTGAGCTTATAATGTAGTATAAAATGGAAAATTCATCTTTATTTAGTTTTAAAACAGCATCTACAAAAATCTAAGCTAAATCTTACATGTAAATCTTAAGAAAAAAACCCCAACATTGTTTCATTGGCTCTTAAAAAAATTCAGAAAAATATCTGAAGTAACACATCTGCATTATTTTTTAAAATAACAAAATATTTTTCTACTATCACAGTATAACTGACTGTTCTTCTCTACATTCCCACTTACTTTTTTTCCAATATAGGATACATCTTTGCTTGGAATTTTAACATGAATATGTCTCCATAGATCCATTCCTCCTTAGCCACCTCTTTACAGTGTCATTATTAACCTCTTTACAGTGTCCTTGATTTAACTGATGATTTAAGCCTTACTATTTTCAACATATCTGTCAGCTACTGATTATTTAATTTGAGGATGAACCATTACATTTTTGTGATTTTAAATACTACTTTATCAAAGGAAAAAAATAATTTAAGTAGCAACCATTTAATTAGCAGTCTTCAGTGCAGCAGCTGTTAAAATGAGGAACATTTCAATTATTATAAAATGAAATATTTCTTCTATGCTCAGGAGACTTTTAATGCCTTTCCGAATACACATTTTTAAGAAAAAGATAGAGTTGCATTTTCAATTTCCTATATTTAAGAAATTATTTGAGAGTATACTTTATTGTGTATTTTGTTACTGGGTTTTTAAAAAGTCCACAGTAAATAAAGCAAGAATCAGAGTTTAGAATATTGTTTCATTAATGTCTTGGATTATGTCCAAGATTAAGAGATGATGAGATAAATTTGTCAGGGATATGGAGCACAGAGCTCCAAATCCCTGATATATTTATGCCATTCTGAAAAAATACTTATTTTTAATACTACTTTGGCCTCTTGGAGTTAAAGTAACTATCTTACCATATGTCTTAAGCAGAGAAAATAAGCATATTCCCTTTAGCAAAATAAACAAATAATGATATACTTGCAATCATCTGCCATGTTTTCAAAAGGTTACTCTGGTGATGCTTTATATTCACAATTTCCTTGTAAAAATAGAAGTCATTGAAAAACAAATTGCTACTCTTTAAAGTATAATAATCTAAGCCTTGGCAAATACTCTGTGAATTATAAAATATTTTGCAGGTACATAAGTATAGGTTTACATATACAGTCACCATAAAGGATTGCAGAAATCCACATGACATTAGGTAGTAGAAAAATTCTATATAACACATTGTTTAATGCCACCTAAATAATACAAAGGTTGAACTCAAGTGCTTTTTCTCTCTCTACCAACCAGCGTTCTTTCATAACAGAGATATCTGTTATAGCAGCAACTGGTATTCACCTGGTTTCACAGTGTAAAGTACAAGGCAAGAAGTCCTTTAAATAATGGGAAACATCAGAATGAAATTGCAGCCTATCACCTGCTTTAGTGGCTTCATCTTGGTATGCAAGCTCAGCGTTCTAACTTCGTGAGTCACCACACTCCTCTCTGCTACTGATGATAAGTATGGACAGGACAGCCAGTGCCCTAGGACAAGTACTACTAAGAGCCAAATAATGTTTGTTTTGTCATATAGCATTTACTGTGCTCAGTTTGTTTGAATTCTACTACAAGGAAAGGGAGTTACACTTCAAAGCTGGTATGGTGCTATGCTGCTGTAGGATTCTGATCAGTCACCCATGTTTTTGTACACAGGACAGCTATGAGGATACATTCACATGTATACTCTAAGAACTAAGAA